CCCCCCCCCCCCCCCCCCTTCGGACATCCTAAGACATTTTTCCTCCCTCCCCCTTCGGACAGCAAAAATTTCCTCTGTGGGGGGGTATGGATCTTTTCTGGAACGACCCATTTATATAACTTATTAGTAATTATAACTCCTCAGTAATTTTTATGTAAATAACGTAATTATGTTGCAGAGCTACAGGTATGTATGATTAGTTATGTTAGCTGTTATTGTGTAAATAAAAGTCAAGCTTGTGGCGGACGGCTGCAGCAGCTCCCAGCAGTGTGTGAGAAAGATAATTCTACCAATTCCGATTGTCTACCGATGAGGCAAAAAATGCCGAAAATACCGACACTGATTATCAGTCAACCATTTATTTCACTCTGTCTAACACCAGACAATTTTACTTGTGAAGATGAGAGTGCTGGCCGCTAGGAATGTTCGGTATGAGAAATTTCCGGTATCGGTATATCGAAAAAATTATACCGATATTATCGGTATACCGGTTTTCCTTTGATAAATTATAAAGGAAAATTCTTTAATGGAAATGTAAAGGAAATTTTGAGTAATTCTAAAAGGGAAAACGATAATTTCGAAGCTGTTTCGAACATGTTTCGAACGACACATACTCAGTGTAAAATCTCACTGAAGTGGAAATTCTAAATCATTGCAGTAGAAAGTTCTTTGAATTGCCATTCAGTAGTAATTAAAACAAAGGTTATGGTTTCGCCATATAGTTGGTAAATTTAACACGGTATACCGAAAAATTCTGGTATATCGGAAATTTCGGTATATCGGTATGGTTGAATATCCGGTATCCATATACCGATATTGATTAATACCGATATTTTCGGTATATCGGTATACCGAACAGTCCTACTGGCCCCACTGAATGGGTTAAATCTGCAGGATTTTGTATCAGACCACATTCAAAGCCAAGTATTATCAGGACTATTAACGAGAACTAAATATAATTATTATAATTTTCTTCAACAAACCTGAGTTTTAGATAATCTTCTCTCAAACCATCCACACTTGCTTTCCACAGAGGTCAGTTGTGATGAGACGTCAGTCAGTTGCTGTTGACTTTCTTCAAGATATTTCTTTAATTTCTACATAAGGCTATGAAGTAAACAAAAATAACTTAATGTTTTGCTAATTTAGAAGTGGGGCACGGGGGGGCGCTTGTCAAAATTAGGGATGAGCCGATAAGGAAAATTGCCGATTACTGAAGCCGATTATTTATAAGCTGATTATCGTAACTAATCGGCCGATTAATCGGTACCTGCCGATTGTTTTAAAAAGCAAGCAAAAAATGACAAGATGACCAACAATGAAGTTGTAAATGTGGTTTTATTGTTTGCAATACACACTATGTACAATTAAAAACAACTTCAATGTTGCATGTCAATAGTCACAGTTTAGTTTTGGCAGATTATGGTGTAAAAACAGGATATTGTCAGCTATGCAGAGCTAGTCTGCTGCGTTCGTCAGTGGAAATGTTATCAGCTCTGGCTTCATTTCGCTTGAGACAATATGCAAGAAAATGTGAAAATTCTATTCGCTTGTATTCAGTATTTTAGCATGTGCTTGGCAGCTGCAGAAAAAGTCTTGTGGCTGATTATTTGCCGATTATCAGGCAATAATCGGCCGATTACCGATTATTTAAAAAACGGCCGATTAATCGGCTTTGCCGATTATTTACCGATTAATCGGCTCATCCCTAGTCAAAATATGTCACATTTATTCTAGTTAATAAACAATATAATAATATATTTGATAACTAATATTTAACTGCATAAATTGTACATGAAAGTTCTAATTGAAAGTTAAAACCACTTAGTCCCGTCAATTCGATTAAAAATAGTTCAACGCACTACAGAGCAAAGAGTTTTTACTGTTTTACGCCATGTGTTAAATTAATCAGGACATAATCATACAGTATTCATATCTTCATATGCATATGCTGTTATAGTTGTTCTTATCCTACCGAAAATAAAAAAATAACGATAAAAATACCTTGTTTGGTATATTTCCAATAAAAATCAGACAGAAGAATGAACGATTCTCAAAGGATGGTTGAAATATACGACGGATTACAAACCTTTTTCGTTCAAAATCACCAATATGCCCAAAAAATGGCCGCCAGCAGGAATTTGAGCCCGTAATACCCTGGGTGTGGCCAGCGAACTGAATATGGGTGTGACAAGGGCGTGGCATTAATTCAGGTCACAAGTTGTTACTGGTCTGCAAACAAGTTGTTACAAATCTGTTCACAAGCTGTCGACAAGTTGCGTTCGCACTGCTTGTTCCCAGTTGTTGTAACAAGTTTGGAACAAGCTGTTAACAACTTGTAACAAGCTTGATGACATTATCAGACTTGATGACATTATCGGACTTGGTGCAAGGTTGTTCTAACAAGTCTGATACAGTCATGATATAACAAGAATCGGTTACAAGGTTGATGACACAATTAGGTTGTAACAATATTGTTATATCATGACTGTATCACACTTGTTGGAACAACCTTGCAACAAGTCTGATAATATCAACAAGGTTGTTACAAGTTGTTACCAGCTTGTTCCAAACTTGGGACAAGCAGTGCGAACACAATTTGTTGACGATTTGGTTTTTTGGCAGACTTGCTACAAGATGTGAGATTTTTTACATGTGTAATAATATAATCATTAAATAAATACAAACATTTCTATACCTTTTCACCTCGTAATTGGGTCTTTATGTTCTCAATAGTTTTCTAAAAAAAGTTTAGTTGATTAAGAGGCAATTTTTTTCAATGTCACGTATTTGCAATGAAAAGTGTTCAAAACCTAAAATCTTTTTGGCGTTCCTCTCAAAATTACTTTATTTTAGCTTTATTCTCTAGTTTATAGAGTTAGCTACCTTTTTAAATGCATCTGCCGGTTGAGAAACATAAAATAATAGTTAAAAATAGTCAATTAAAATACAATTATCAATGATGTTTTAAAATTGACGCCATATTTACAGTCATATAAGCAAAACTTACTGAACTTCAGACATCATTTTCTCTTTGGCGTACCATCTAAAATCTCTTCATTTTAGCATTATTTTACAGATCATAAAGCACCAGACATACTTTTTAAGTTTGTTTGCCGATTGAGAAACGTGTCGAAAAATAAAAATTTTGAATTTAGTCATAACCTCAAGTGGTATATTATACGCATTAGTTTTGAGCGCGTGTTACGTATTATATACGCGCAAAAACGCACAACTTGTAACAAACCTATACAGCAAACTTGTAGCAATGCTGGTCCAACAACTTGTCAGCAGGATGTGTTCGCACTGCTTGTTCCCAGCTTGTCGACAAGTTGTGAACGGCTTGTTGACAAAATTGTTGACAACTCGCTACACGGTTCTTGAGCTCAACAGACTCGTTACAAGTTGTTCCAACAACTTGCCATCGTCCTGCAATTCAACAATTTGCCAACAAGTTGTGAATTGACAACCTTGTAGCACCTTTATGAAATAACAACATTGTTACAACTTGTTGACAAGCTTGCTACATGCCTGTTGTGAACACATCTTGTCGATAAGTTGTGAGATATTTACGTGTGTGGGACAGAAAATTGCTTTGGTATGAAGTGGGCTAGACAAACTCTATTCCAACGCAGTCCAAACAGATAATCACCTTGAATTCTTCTCGATTTTTCCTGGCCTCGTCTTTATAACTAGTTTCCAATTTCTCTAGTTGTTCCTTGTGCTCGACCACGACCTTTTGTTGGTCGATTGAGAACTCGTCCAGCATCTGTTTACGTTTCTCTGCCAACTGAAGGAAAATTATATAATATCAAAAAAGTTTGCAAAAAATACACAGGGTTATTTCATAGTATTTCGTATGTGGAGAAAATGAAGAGACTGTTTTATGTACCTTGGCCGCGTCGTTTCCACTTTGTATATATTGTTCTTTTTCGCCCATAGTTTCATCTAAAATCTCTTCATTTTAGCATTATTTTACAGATAAAACATCAAATATACTTTTAAGTTTGTTTGCCGATTGAGAAACGTATTGAAAAATAAAAATTTTGAATTTAGTCATAACCTCAAGTGGTATATTATACGCATTAGTTTTGAGAGCGCGTTACGTAACATACAAATTACTGTCAACTAGTTAAGTATTGAAGAGCTTTTGAAGTGGGGGAAAATATTCATTTGGTAGGTTCAATTCCAGCTGAAGGAACTGGGTTTGTCGTCGTGCACCACTAAATAGTTTGCCTCTACTATTTAGTGGTGCACGACGACATTTAGCGGTGCACGACGGGGGGGGGGGAGAGGGTGTGAGACCCATGCTTAGCGCGTTTTGACTAACAATTACATAATTTGTTTCCCAGGTAATATTATGTAATTTTACTAAGAAATTCGTCAAGCCTTCATAAGATCTTCAACCGAAACTCAATAAAAGTCAACTATAAATTTAATGAAATTTACACAAAATTTTTTCATCCCATGATACACGTGCACAAATTTCCCACAATGACCCCATAAAACAATTGTTATTATTATTTCATGAAATGTGAATTGTTTTAAAAATAGCTGATAATCATTAGACGAAATAACTAACGAATTCGTTCCCCAAAATATCGTTGCCGAGTGCAAACTGGTGACACGCAGAGCTTTACATTTGGAAGTGAAGACCCATATCTGAAGAACTTGATTCAAAATTACTCAGGTTCTCCTGTAACGATGCAGCATCACCGATATTATGGATTTCTTTGAAGATTTTGGTGTCATCAGCGTATGTTGCAATGAGATGCATTTTCTGTTAGTAAACGAGCAGGAATCCCATCCGGGCCATGAGCTTTGTCATTATCAAGAGTTCTTAGTACATTAGCTACGTCGTCAGTTGTTAAAACAACATCCTCCAACAAGGAAATGTTATCAGTATATAGAAGTATCTAGATCATTGGTGAAGATGGATGTAAAATAATTAGTAAAGAGAGTTGCTATGTGCATATGTCCGCTGGTGTTTCCGAGTATTTCCTTGCATTTCCTTCAACCCCCATTGAGACTTTCGCGGGAACATTGCAAGATTTGGTTTTTAGCTTGAAGAGCGACCAGAAACGCTTTGGGTTATTTCCGTGATCATCACAAATAGAGTTGATGTACTTTGAATGACTTTCACGCAGCATTTTTTAATAGCAGTTCTGAGATGTCCTTAAATCCAATGGCAATGCCAGCGTATAGTTGGAGAAGATGATGTTAGCACTGCGAGTGATGAGGAAGTGAAGCACGCAGCGTATGCTGATGATCTCGATGGTGCAGGAGTCCTTGGGTGTTTGCGAACGTGGTGGAATCAAGTTGTTCACTTTGGTCCTCTCTTGGGATACTACCCGAAAGCCTCGAAGACTTGGTTAGTTGTGAAAGAGGACAGAGTTGATGCTGCGAGAAAGATATTCGCGGACACTGATATTAACATCACATCTGAAGGACGTGCATATCTTGGTGGTTTTGTTGGAAGTAAGGAATCGAGAGAAAACTATGTGAAAGAACTTGTCAAGAAATGGTGTAAGCAGCTGATGAAGTTGCCACAGATAGCGCAGTCGGAACCACAGGCAACGTATGCAGCATTTGTTTCTGGTTTTCAACATAAACTGACCTACTACATGCACACTCTTCCTAACCTCGGTCCATTACTGCAGCCATTCGATGAAATCCTAAACCATCATTTTATTCCTGCCATAACTGAAGGCCATCACTGCTCCCAAGACGAACGCAAACTCCTTAGTCTTCCTGCTCGTTTTGGTGGTCTTGCTATTCCCATCTTCTCCCAGATCGCCGAGAGAGAATACGAATACTCCAAGAAAGCTAGTCAACAACTGACCGAGAACATCAAATCTCAGACTGTGGAATACTCCTTTGACAACACAGCTCATCACTCAACAAAGAGTGACATCAAAAGATCGAGAAATCTGGAGCATGAACAGATACACGCGGGGTTGCAAGAAAGGATAAACCAGAAACGTGCAAATGAGATTGCCCAAATGAAACGAGCGTCAAACTGGTTAACTTCACTGCCAATAAGGGAAGAAAACTACGTCCTCAACAAACGAGAATTCTATGACGCTATTCGTATGAGATACAGGTGGCCGCTCAAGTTTATTCCAACTACTTGTGCTTGCGGGAAACGGTTCTCGGTAGATCATGCATTGTCCTGTCTCAAAGGCGGCTTCGTACATCAACGCCACGACGAAATCCGCGATCTTTGTGGGCAGACGGCTACCGAGATTTCTAACGACGTGGAGATTGAACCAAACCTTCTCCCTCTCACTGGTGAGCAACTCCATGCAACAGCAAACGGGAAAGATGAAGCAAGACTGGATATCACTATTGGTGAGGGTAGGAGAGGGGGGGTATGGATCACGCTTCACAACGAAAAAAAAAGCCGTTTCACGATTCACGTGTCTTAAAAAGCAATTTCACGGAAAATTAGATTCTCATAAAATAATATAATAATAATAGCTTCATTAAGACTATGTTTAATGCATAGTACAGTATCTACGGTTTACGTACTCTCATTTCTCTACCTGTCAGTTAAAAACTACATCATAACTTAAGTTTGAGTGCGTGTCCTCACCGCCAGGAACCTTGTCCTCACCGCCAGGAACCTTGTCCTCACCGCCAGGAACCTTGTCCTCACCGCCACGAACCTTGTCCTCACCGCCACGAACCTTGTCCTCAGCGTCAGTAACCCTCAGCGTCAGTAACCTTGTCCTCAGCGTCAGGCACCTTGTCCTCAGTGTAAGGAACCTTGTCCTCAGCGTTAGGAACCTTGTCCTC